AAGCTGAATGATTGAAATATTCAAACCGCACCATCCAAAATTCAAATCACTATGCTTTGATAGATGAAATGGCCTAAAATAAAGGAAAATAGCAAAAAGAATGGTTTACATAAGAACAAAAGGGCCTTCAACTTGGAGGGGTGTGTTTGTCTGAGCACATGTAAACCGGTACGTTGTAACTTTTATGAAACATAGATGTATGGAATGCGTACATTTTGAATAAGCGATTCGTTCATTTATTCATTCAGCTGAATTAGAATAGTAACCACACCAACGCTGATTGCAACTATCTAAAACGAAAACATTTGATGAACAGTATGGATATAGCACCGACTGTTATGGGCATTCGTTGTGTGCTATGCTACGCAAATGAACTGAGGAAGCCTTTTCCTGAAAAACAAACGGATAACGTTACTAAAGATGCGCCTCTCTGGAAAAAATCGAACTGGTTACCCTTTTCAGAGAAACCATAGTACATCCGAAATAAAAACAGTGACCAAAATATAGCCCATCCCTTATTCACACAACGCACACGCACAAACAAACACACGATAAAACATATTACACACACCGCCTGTCCCAAATCATCAGACCCGTGAAGATCCGGGGTAGAATAGGTCTTCAGCAACCCATGCTTGCCACAAAAGGCGACTATGCTTGTCGTAAAAGGCGACTAACGGGATCGGGTGGTCAGGCTCGCTGTCTTGGTTGACACATGTCATCGGTTCCCAATTGCGCAGATCGATGTTCATGCTGTTGATCACTGGATTGTCTGTTCCAGACTCGATTATTTACAGACCGCCGCCATATAGCTGGAATATTGCTGAGTGCGGCGTTAAACTAAACTCACTCACTCACCCTAATCATCACTTCTCCTTCTATTTGGATCTCAAACAGGAGTTGATAACTTGGGTATATCATTGATATCATCTTGTTTCATGCATAACGTGTATTCTTGTGGGTCAGGTAAACTGCACCACATCCAACGGTGAACGTGGATACGGCAGAAGGAGAAGAGAGGCAGGGAACGAGGTGAACCTGTCCAAGGTGGTGAAGATCCGTAGTCAAGGTGAGATGATAAACCTCAGTTTAAGTGATTATAGTATGTTTGCAAATATTATTATAAAGTACAACTGATGCAATAGCAAAATCCTTATCATTCACAAAGTAATAACTCGTATTATTTGTATTAGCTCGTATTTATCTCTCAGACAACTATGACAAAATGCAAATGGATTTATTTTTATGATACGTTATATGCATAATTTAACTGGATATCAACATTGACATTGTTTTTGTAGATATCTGTAGAAAAATACCGTTTTGTATTAATATCACTCAAACATTGTGGCCGAGCTGCTCAAATTTGCCTCAGTACTAACATACACTTACTATTTTCTTATACGTAACAATCCACTCCGTCAACACGATGTCAAATCTTTTGCAAAGGCAGAGGCACTTCCCAATTGTGTTTTTCCCTTTCGAGTTGATGTACAGCTCTCATGTGGGAGGAGTGAGTGAGTTTAATTTCACGCCGCTCTTAGCAATATTCCAGCAATACCACAGCGGGGGACACCAGAAATGAGCTTCACACATTGTACCCATGAAGGGAATCGAAACCGGGTCTTCGGCGTGATGAGCGAACCCTTACACACCGCCTCTATGTGGAAGGAAATAACATGCATGGAATATTGCACAAAGAATGATCAACAGAATGTAATTTGAAAATTTTAAATGTAAATTTATAACTGCACGAAAAAGGCATGACACAGCAGCTGATTGTGCATTTCTAATGTCAGATGAAATAATTGTTAGTGAGGCTCATTAATAACACATTAAATTATACTGAAGGACACGCTTATTATGAGCGCCAGTAGAGAAACTCTTTTGACCATCCACACCCTTTTCACAGACAGCTCCAACCAAACCACCATATCTGCCTGTGAAACATCTTGGGAGATTACAGCAACCCTCTCCGTCATGGCCGTGGCTATCTTCTTCCTCATCGTCATCTCTGCTGCCCTCACCGTCATCATTATCTTTCTCGCCAGCTTTATTGCAGCTGGGAATCCAAGACTGATACATGTACGTATGCAAGGTCATCAGCTGCCGAGAAAGATATGTAATTCTTAAATGATTAAAAGAAACACGGACCCTTCAAGGTCCGAGTTAGAATATTGGCCTTCAGTAACCCATGCTTCTCGTAAGAGGCGACTGACGGGATCGGATGGTCACTGGTGGTGACTGGCTCGATCACTTGATTGACAAATGTCATCGTATCCCAGTTGCGTAGATTGATGCTCATGCTGGTGATCACTGGATTGTCTGGTCCAGACTCGATTATTTACAGACCGCCGCCATATAGCTGGAATATTGCTGAGTGCGGCGTAAAACTCAACTCACTCACTCACTCAAAAGAAACATGCTTTTTCTATTAATTTCAAGAACGATGAAGTGATGTTCTTCTAAGGTAATGTTAACTTTAATTTTATTTGAACGCATCAGAAATTCAACACAACTATTTTGTTAAAGATACACCGAGTCTTGTGAAGGACGTTCTGCTGACTTTCGTCCATGCAGCTACAAAACGCAAGAGGAAAAAGCAAAGTCAAAAGACAGAGGACGTTGTATCAGTTTTTCTTACATAACAGGTAGAGTACGACATTACTCTCGTTCTGAGAACAAAAATGTGCCTGTGACAAAAACGTATTGTTGTGGGAAGGCTGCACCAACCTTGTTATACAACCAATATGACGTGTGCAGCCTCCTACCAATTGGAATCGGACCAAATCTTTATCGATCGTATGCGAAATTGGGAAAGAAGAGAAGAGGAACCTAGTGAATATTTTCAAAATGACATAAGTCAATACCACCTATTGGATGCGCAAACTGCAAAAGAAAAAGCAGAATTTTCATGAAGCCACGTTGTCCAAGCCAGCTGGCATATAAAGTCTCTCCTTCATGAAACGTTTGCATTTTGTTTCTACTGACATTGCAATTATATGTAAGCATCACGACATTGCATAAAATATTCGATCAAAGAACTTGGAATAAATATTATCATCAAATAATGTCAATTAGAAAGTCAGTTTATTAATTGAAAAGTCCACGACAAACACGCAACTGTACCTTAGGACCTTAGGACCACGGGTCTTAAAGCTGAAGACACTTCTTCTCTCCAACTGGGTCCTAAAGCTTCATTAAATTCCGTACAGACAGAAATATATAACAGATAAAAAGAAAACATGAATAGCAAACAAACTACAACACCAATTGGAGAAATTAAGTACCAAACTAAAGGAAGGTGCCAATAAACATGTACAACCAGAAATGTACAATTCCGAGGCAAAAATGACAATATCAGAAATATGTCCATAGAACTGGAACTCGCTACTTTGTGAAGATCTAAAAGTTTCCAGTACACGAAGAACCCTTGCCTACCATACTACCATACGAGATACCTAATAAAAGCATTGGAATATGCAGTTAAACTGTCATAGACTCAAATCTATTGCAAAACCCTAATGAAACCCAAAGGATAGTCGTGATGACGTGCTGAGTCGGGCGAGCGGAGAAGACGTGACGGTCATTGGGCCGTGAAGACTCTTGAAGTTGTTTTAGTAAATAAAATAGAATAGAACCAGTTAGTTTTCAGAGAATGATTGATTTGTTGACAATTTATTAGTAGATATCATAGTATCAGTTGACTAAATGCTCAATTAAAATTCTTCTCCAAATTGCCTTCTTTTAAACTTTCTGACGATAAATGGTAATTGACACAGATCACATATAACCATGGAGCGCAAAAAATACAAATAATGTTTAGGACGATTCTGCACATGTCAATACATCCAGATGCAACACGAATCCTCTTGGAGATATTGCTTTCCTAACAACTTGTAGATATTTGCCGATTGACATAAGCATTGGCTAGAGGTTTTAATGTTCAAATATGAAACGAACGATGTATACGGTGTTTGAAGTGATACTGAAACAGTTTTTGCCGGCTGATCTGGTATATAAGTGAACAGCAACAATAACCTGTCACAGAACAATCCATCCCGTCTGTATCAATACATGTGCACATCTAGGTGATTGATGTTTACTGTAGTGACATCCTCGTAACCGGACGGGGTGTCAAGATACTTGAGGTGGGTGAAAAAGTCCCTTTCAAGATTACTCCCCTGCATAACGATGTGAATAGAAATGAACATATGAGTGTGCGTGTGCGTGTGCGTGTGCGTGTGCGTGTGCGTGCTAAATCTGACTATTGCAAATTAAGTGCTAATCTTCTGAGATCCCCTGCTGCAGCTTGGCATGGATGCCCGAGTCAGAGAACAGTATACTGGTTCAGAGCTGACCAGTCTTTGGTTTTCTCCTCAACCCAGAGCCAGGACAACAACAAGTACCATTATGTTCTCGGACTACTACACCACGGGTGTAGTTACATAGATTGAAAAACCAGCATGAAAGAGCTAATACATACCCTGTTTGTCAAGAGGTTTTCAACAGAAATATCAACTCCCCCAATCCATGAACTATGGTTGTCAACCATTATTTAATATCCTCCACATTGCATAAATGATTCAACACTCAATTACATTTGGAGGCATACTTTTATTCCAAAGTGGTAAATCTTACTCAGGTGATTGATAAGTTTTTGAAAAATAGTTGTGCAAGTAAAAGGGCTTTTGTTATATTCACTTTAACATGTAAATAATACATGCGTGATATTCAAGTTGGGCTACGAAATCATTTTGTGCACAAAAAAGATTTTTTTCAATTACCTTTCACGAATGAAGTGTACATTTCCATGCAATAGATATTGTCAACTTTATAAAAGTACACCGATAAAATGGACAAGAGAACATATAGATGTGCAGTTTGGGATATCGTAAAGTTTTTGGAAAACAGACAACTGAATTTATCTTCGTCTGAAATTGGTAAACTGATCAATAGTTTGTATGTCTCTTCAGGAAACAATGGCAGTGTTGTTTAACTTCAACCACCTACGAAAACTCCAGTAAAAGTATGTTTTATTCTAGTCTCACAAACATGACTCAACTCAGCATGTGATGTTTAGAACTTGAGCAACAAACTGACGTAGTTTACTAGTTTTCAGTCTGAGGGCCCATATAAAAACTATATGCATTTGGCACACCCTCTCTTTAAATAATGCACAAGTTGAATTTCCGCAAATAAGGAAATATATATATAGGTTTCCACTCTTACACTTAAACAAGTATTTCACAGAAACACCTTATGTATATGTATGTATATGTATATCCATGTATACGGAATATATTAATGCTGCATATATTTATAAATTCATATTTATATATTTATATATACACAACTTCCTACTTGCGTCTGTTTGGATCGTTCACGTTAAGAGATAGGGTTAGATGGATATGTAACTGGTAGGGATATCTTAGCGACTAAATCGCCTGTAGTTTCATAAAGTGATGTCAGATCGGTGATACAGATTTGGCCCCTCGAAGGTCAAGGTCAGGAACGCAACACTGCCACATTACCTATGACGTGCGATAAAACAACCGTTGTTGTGTATGTTGGCTCCTCTTAATGATGACACATACTGCAAGTACATAATGGGGCATGGTCTCCAGTTTTGTAAATCTCGTATTAAATCCTGATTGAAACTTTTTGTCAAGAACATTTTACGTTCGGGTGCTTGGAAACGAGTTCATGGGCGGATCCAGGAATTTTGAATAAACCCCCCATTGGCTTTGCCAACGCAAAAAAAATCTTCAGTGTGGTCTTATGTCATTTTCAAAAGGGGGGGGGGTGTCCAACCCCTTGAACCCTCCCTCTGGATCCGCCAATGGAGTTGGAACGTAGGTTAAGATTGCGTTCAATATTACTTCCACTTTTACAGTGAGGTGCATTGTCTTGTATTTGTTGAAGCTAATGCTTTTGCGGTTTAAAGGCACAATGTCACACATCAAACTTATCATCCCTTACGACTTGCCTGAAACCGATAATTGAAACTTCGAGGTGAACAGCTTCCAAACAGATAACACTTGTCATGTATAGAATTATCAGTGGTGTCGGTGTTTGCCGAACTGGTTTCAATCACAAGTTGTGCGTAGGATATTCGTAACGAGCGCTCCAAGGGACACAACTCTATGGGGTTCTCTTTAAATCATGTTCGGCCAGTACAGGGTGCGAGATTCGATTTAATGCAACGTTGCATTAATTCATTCGAACTTTTAATTTAGTATTGTAATCTAAATGCGTAATTTATTTTGGAATAAATTGTATGGTAGCTTCCCTGAGGGTTGATAATTTGTATTTCTGAAAGAAATGCATTATATACTTTTGGAGAAGTGTGGTGCCTTTAACATAATTACTCCACTTATCGCAGGGAAGGTAAAGAAAAGTATAATCTTTCTTACATCTTTTGACACAGGGCAGCCAGACAATCTGCTCTGCCCATTTCATCATAGGTGCTAGTTTAGTTTGAGTACTAACACACAGAACCAGCTTCACCCAACACTGGCTCCCATGGTAGATATCGCTTGTGTAGATATCATAGATATCGCAACAACTGAATTGTCATAATGCTATTACATCATCAGTTAATGATCTCACAATGCTTTGACATCACTTAGAACACAGCTGACAATGCTATGACGTCACAAAGTTTATGACATCACAACGCTATGACCTCACTCAGATTACTGCTCAAGAAGCCTAATGGCAGTTTTGGGTTCAAATAAATAAATTTTATTGATAATTGATGAAGAATTATTTTGGATGATAAATAAAATCTCACCCTCGTGTCTTCTGCTATTTATAACATATCAACTCTCGTTGAGTAAAGTAAAAATGTTTGTAACTTTAATGATATGTTTGATATCAGAAGACACTTGGGTGAGATTCTCTATAATACATGTATATGCATAAAATATTTACCGGCGGTTGTGAAATACATGATCATATAATGTTTTAGTTTGATTTGAAAATACCAGATCTAAGAATGTCATAAGAAAACATAAACAATATTTGGGTGATAAATCATTGTCAGATGTCCAGACTCGATTAATATACAGACCGCCGCCATATAGCTGGAATGTTGCTGAGTGCGGCGTACAACTAAACTCACTCACTCACTCAGATGTACAAGATTAGAAGCTACACTCCCACCCTACAAGTGCCTTCAACGTACAGGAGATTTACTTCTGTGATGCCGAAATTAAATATGTAAATAACATATGCCCATAAAACACACAAGATGAAATAACATGAAACAAACAACATCTTTTTTTTTAGATAACAGGGTAGGACTCCTAAATGCGGCATTTTTAAAAACAAAAAGTACGTTTAATATTGTGTTTCAATTACATTTCACATATGCAGTTACAAATAATATACATATAGCAACGGATATTGTCAATTTGTTTATTTGTTTTTAAAATGATACTATAAATTGGATAAGAGAACATATGTTTGCGCACTCGTTCATGGTCTGGAGAACAAACAACTTGATCTGAAAAAGGTAAGCCCTTTCATATTTTGCATGTCTCGCCATGGAATAATTGAAGGCTTGTTTGTCGAACCCAGCCTAGGTCTTTCGTTGTTTATTTCTAGCCTATTTCAATTACGCATGACACATTGTGCTGATTCTAACTGAACATTGTGGTTGATATAACATTCGAGCAAACTACCATGATCTAGGGATCACGTTGACAGCGATGTTTGACCGATGTTTTCCACTACACATATTTTATTTTGTGAAAGGGAATGAATCCTTTAAACGATGACACATCGAGTTGTATGAAAGGACATTCCTTATTTGTTGCCTAACTGATGTTTCAATTCAATTTCTTTTATTCAGGGTACTGAAGAGGCCACAGGCCTATAGTACAATACAAGTGTGTACAGTTACATGGTATTTAAAGCAAAGTTTCTACTGTTGAACCCATGATAGATGTACATTGATAGGTTTTTAACAATTTGTAGATTCGTTGCTTTCAACAATAACCTTAATTTATATTCACAGTGATTGATGCGGTAAAATGGGGGTATATATAACATTCTTAAATTGTGAAAATGCGGACAGACTAATATAAAATGATACTCACCTTCTATCACCCCTAAATCACATAACATACAGAGTCTATTTTCTCGTGGAACATTATGATATCTGCCCTTTTCTATATTTAATTCATGGGATGTACATCTTAGTCGTGCAATAGCTGTCCTAAACCTTTTGATGTTAACATCAAGGAGGTAATGCTCTACTGTAAGATCTGATTTAAAAGTGCTATATAATAAGGTTTTGGGTGACAGAGTTAGCGAGGCAGTGTTACAGGTTTAATAAAAACATTTGGGAAGCTAATACAATCAAGTTTAAAAGCATATCCGAATCCACATGTTTCGAGAAACTGATGTTTCGATATGATTGAACTTATTTCTTTTGATGTTTGCAAAGGTTTCAGCCAATCCTTTGAGTGTGTTGATGATCCACAAAAGAATTGTAAAACGAAATCTACCTTAATAGTAATGTCGTAGGCAAGTTACGAAAATGGAAATTACATAATTTTAGATATAACTGTTGATGACATAAGATTAACCCTTACAAATGTATATGGACCGAACTCTGATAGTCCTTCCTTTTATATATCTTTATTTGATAAGATTGTAAATATGGGTAACGATTCAATTGCAGTATGTGGAGATTGGAATCTTGTCTTAGACCCCTCCATAGACCTTGAAAACTATAAATACATTAATAACCCACGGGCTCGTAAGACTGTCTTGGACCAAATAGACAATTTAAACTTAATAGACGCATGGAGAGAGTTAAACCCTAAAACAAAAATGTATACATGGTGGAAAAAGAATCCTCGCCAACAAGTCAGATTAGATTTCTTCTTGGCAACTGAAGACCTCTTTAACATAAATAGGAATATATCCATCATACCTGGTTATAAAAGTGACCATTCTGCTGTAACGTTATCTTTATCAACACAAAAAAATATGGAAAAGGGAAGCGGCTATTGGAAGTTTAACACATCATTATTGAGACGAGAGGGATATATAACACTAGTAATTGACTTATTTAATGAAACAAAACCAGAATACGCAGAACCTACATATTCAGATGAAGAATTAGACGAGATTAATGATGAACACTTACGTTTGACTATCAGTGACACTCTATTTTTAGAGACATTTTTAATGAAACTTAGAGGAAAATCCATCTCATACTCTTCATATCTTAAGAAAATCAGAACTGCAAAATATAAAGAACTAGAGGAGAATATATGTCATATAGAAGATGAAATAAGAAGTAACTTCCAAAACGTTAATGAAACACTTCTTGCTGATTTATCTAAAAGTAAAAATGAATTGTAAAAAATGAAAGAAGAAGAAATAAAAGGAATCCAAGTTAGAAATAGAATCCAGTGGTATGAAGAAGGGGATAAACCTACAAATTATGTTTACCATTTAGAAAATAGAAACTATACAAACAAACTTATTAACTCCCTTATTAGTGATTCTATGAAAACCTGTATAAATCAAATTGCGACATAGATGAAGACATTAAAGCTGTATTCGAACATATTGCTACTCCTTCTTTAAATAAAGAACAGTCAAATGAACTTGAGCGCGATATTAGTGTTGAAGAACTTTCGCATGCTGTTAAATCAATGAAAAATAACAAAAGTCCAAGTTTAGATGGCTTCCCTATCGAATTCTTCAAATTTTTCTGGAAAAATTTGAAAATTTGGATTCACCGATATATAAAAGTAACTTTCAACCAGAATTCTATGACTACGACAATGAATAGTGGAGTAATTACATGTATCCCTAAGCCAAGTAAGGATAGAAGATACCTAAAGAATTGGCGACCAATCTCTCTCCTAAACGCATTGTATAAAGTTATAAGTACTTGTATAACAAACAGGATTAAAAAAACTTTGAATTTTCTTATAAACGAAAATCAAACAGGATTCATTCCAGGAAGATGCATTACGGAAAACATGAGACCTCCTTATGACATTATGTTTGAAACTAAAAGGCAAAACATAAAAGGTTTACTAATCTTAACTGACTTTGAAAAAGCTTTCGACACCATGTCAAAATTATTCATTAAGATGGTCCTAGACAAGTTTGGTTTTGGAAGTAACATTCAAAGATGGGTTAACATATTGATTTCTAATGCATCCTCGTGTATGATACAGAATGGTCACTTGTCCACGTTTTTCGATAATGAAAGGGGATGTAGACAGGGTGATCCCATATCTCCATATTTATTCTTATTGGTAGCAGAAATACTAGGAGTAATGATCAGAGACAACCACAGAATAAAAGGAATTGTTTTAAACGACATCGAACATGTTATTGGTCAATATGCAGATGGCACTGAATTATTTTTGGACGGTTCCGAGACCTCTCTTAATGAAGCTATGAAAACTTTGCTTTCCTTTTACAAGATGTCAGGTTTGAAAATAAATATTGATAAAACAAAAGTAGTATGGCTAGGCTCAATGGCAGGTAGTAAAATAGTCCTATCCCAGGACTATAAGATGGATTGGCATAATGAGAATTTCGAAGTATTGGGAATCAAATTAAATGCTCATTTAGAAAACCTATGGATAATTAATACAAAGAAGAGACTCGAAAATATAAAAAGAATTCTACTGAATTGGAAAAGACGCAATTTAACGTTGATAGGGAAAATAACCGTCGTTAAAAGTTTAGCTTTATCCACGATTGTCCACATCTTCTCTTCTCTCCCTAATCCCCCAAAAACATTTATTACTGATTTGAACAGATTATTCTTCAAATTTATATGGAATGATAAAATTGATAAAATAAAACGAATTAATTTAGTACGAAGGTACGAAGAAGGTGGTCTAAGAATGGTCGACGTGAAAACCTTTATCGACTCTTTAAAACTTTCATGTTTGAAGAGATATATTTCAAAACCTAAGAACTATGCTCTCGCCGGTTTCCCTCTACAAAACCTTCTTTTTTTAGGAGCCAACATCACAAAAACATTATAATATTAAAAATCCATTTTGGAAAGATTCTCTTGATGCCTGGCATAGATATGTTAAAAGATCGATATGTAACAATAACGACATTAATGAAATACTCATGCAGCCACTATGGTTAAATCACCAGTGTAACCAGCCAAGTTTGATCATTCATAACTGGATTAAATGTGGAATAGTTTATATTAAAGATATTTGTAACGACCACGCATTTCTAACATTCGCAGAACTTAAGGCAAATTTTGGTATTAAAGTACTGTACTTGACTTTAATCGTGTTCTCCTTAGTATACCCAAACAGTGGAAAGAAGTTATACGAACAAATAACAATTTTAATATACCGTCGTTATCTATGTGCTCTCCTTGGAACGATTTGATTAAACCTAGTAAAGGTTCTATGATAATTTTATATCTGATTATAACATTCTGAATGTGTGTCTCAAATGGAACGGGGAACTAAATGAGTTGTTAAATTGGAAAACCATATTTTCACAATATAGACAAAGCACTAAAGACACGAAACTCTTAGAATTTCAATATAAGTTTTTGCATAGAGTCATTTACACTAAACGAGAATTACTAAAAATGAAATTGATAGATAATGGCCTATGTACATTATGTGGTTCAGTAAGTGAGGATATTTACCATGTATACCTTGATTGTCCAACCATCAAAATGTTCTTGTCAGAATTTAACAATTTTATAACTCAAGTCCTTAGTAAAACGTATGAAATGTCAAACCATGATATTCTATTTTGTTGCAATAGTAACCACTTACTCAACCACATGATACTATTGGCAAAGCACCACATTTTCGTAATGAATATAAAAGGACACAAACCTAGCTTCACCATCTACAGAACATTATTAAAAGATGTCTACGAGATAGAGAAATGTATCGAGAAGAAAAACGATAATATGAAACATTTTTACAGAAAATGGAATGTCCTAGATGGAGTCCTGTAATTTATTTTTTAGTCTTTTAATTCTCTGTAATATTAGCTAGCATCTCAATTGTTAATCTATATTCCCAGTACCATATGTTATACATTGTCTGCTTGTTATTATGCAACCTGTACCATTCTACTCTACCCACATATCATGTTCAAATGTAACCAAGTAAAGTGAATAAAAATACTTTACAAAAAAAATAGTAATGTCGTATCGTTATGGAAAGGGCTTTTTTCGAAAAATTTTAGGTACCTTCCAAACAGTTTCTTTCAATGGAATAGCTGTTTGGAAATGTGAACACATTCAAATTTAACATACTGTAATGTGTCTATGCCCATGCTTTAATAGATGCTGTTTTTAGCATTTTTACTTTTATCTCAGAAGATTTCAATTTTCCTATCATGGAGAACCTTATAATCATTATATGTCACAAGTGTATCGTTGCTGATCCCTGCATCACACTGTGTTGTTGCATATGCTCCTCAAAGAATACGTGGCGGTGGGGTAGCCAAGTGGTTAAAGCGTTCGCTCGTCACGCCGAAGGCCCGGGTTTGCTTCCCCACATGGGTACAATGTGTGAAGCCCATTTCTGGTGTCCCCCGCCGTGATATTGCTGGAATATTGCTAAATGCGGCGTAAAACTCACCTCACTCACTCTCAGAGAATACAAAGTGACATCATATCTTCTTGTTATTCAATGCGCCCTTGCAGATTTTTCAATATTTAAGTCACCTCCGAAAATCACATTCTATCATATTTTTAGGATAATCTTTCCAATAAAGAAGTCTGTCAGACATATGATAATAAAGGCTATTGAAAGGATGAATGAATAAATTACCCCGGATAACCCAAGCTGACAATGAGGCGACCCGCCATATGACTTATCCCACCGGGTACCCATTCACTGCTTGGTGAACTGAGACACTTGCCTAGGGTGAGACCACATGTATCACGTGTGATTCGTTGTGGGGCAGTGCGGAAGTTGTCACCATGAAGACACGGTCACCCATCCAAGACCTCTCCTTGACCAACGTTGCTCAATTCAACTGATATATGACCTAGGCTCTAGCTAGCTGGTCTATACGGCATTGTCCCTGGCATCGTGTACAGTCTGAAGTCTTTAAGTCTTGCAGTTAGATAACGGCCCGTAGCATCATTCTGCTTCGAAGTTTTTCCAAGTTTTTCTGTATATTCACAACACGAACCTTCTATTCAATAAAAGATATATTTAGTCAATAACTAACGAGGAATGACAGATTATAATAGATATATGTTATAAGGTTCTGGTTTGAAATGATGTGTTTTCTTTAAAAGTTTGGAATTCATGTTTTTCTGTGTCTGACAGTATGAAAAACTAGCAATGGCTTCTGTTATTCCAGTTACCATTATGCCAGTTCCTCCTATTTTGGTTCTGCTATTGTCTCTAGGCTTTGGTGAGTAACATTATTACATTGGAATGTGTGTGTTACCTACATCATATATAATGCTGACATTTTAATAATAAAGGCAATGTTTCATGTTATTATTATCAACCAAATACACGTTCGTTTAATTGCACTGCTACGTTTTCCAATAGCTCATACCTTAGCGCAAGTTAATGGTCTCAAAACATTTATACATTGTTGGTTTTTTAATGTTCAACTGAAAATATAGGTTCATTTCAGTCTAAGTAAACTTAGGCTCAGTATTATTCGCTACACTGCTATACTGAGTCTAACAAAACCTTGTAGAAGGTCGCGTCAGCTAACGTTTGAGCGACCTATGACCGTCCAACCAAACGCGAGACGGCCGAACGGATTTAACCAATCAGACAACGACTACTTTTTAGGGTTCGGCGGGACTTACAAAACAGTTTTGGGATTTTCTCTTTCCTGGTCGCTGACACTGATCTATCAATAAACGAAAATCCGCATAAAACACAGATATTTGACCTGCAGTATATACGCTTATAGGTTTCTAATGACATGGTTACTATTTGCTTGTGTTTTCGCAAGATGACATCCTTGAATATTGACAAAAACGCTATTTTCAGCGACTGTTTACTCATTGCGTGTTTCACTCGGAAGCGATCGTGCGGAAAAATAGCATTCGGAATCGTTCGAGTTCATGAGGTAGAGGTTCAAACGGTATGTGCGAATGTTACCTTTCGAGATTTGGTAAGCTGTGTTCTGATTGGTCAGTCCAAAAGGTTAGCTGAAACGACCTTCTACTAGGTTTTGTTAGACTCGCTAAGCAGTGTAACGAATAATACTGAGCCTAAGTTTACTTAGACTGAGGTTCATTTTCATAGGTGTTCACCTACGTTGCAGTAATTACCTATGTACCAATATGATTTACCTACAATTTCCGAAAAAAATGGATCTTCAGAAAAGAGAAACCTATTAACTTCGACAACACTGCACTTTGCAGCTCATGCCACGTTTGACTGTCGACGTCCTAACCAGGATTGCCTGAACGGCGGGAACTGCACCTTCACTTCAGCAGAGTGCAGCTGTGCTACGAACTACACTGGCTATGACTGTGGCCTTGAATCTGGTGAATACCCGAATGTTTATCCTTTTGTCAAATGATCCTCTTTTGAGAATGATTTAAATCTCTTCGCTTTTAATGATTGTCAAGATTCTCTATGACATCACTATTATGCAGTCACGTCGTGGGAAGGTTTATTGGCAGTATATAGTGTTATGAGAGAGTGTTGTTTGTAATTTGTAATTTGTAATTTGTAATATCACATTGATTAAGTGATACTTAATATGGGTCACAATGTGGGTTTTGGCTTGCATCTCGCATCATATATGTTCAATGTGCAATAGTATTTTTAACGGTACGCCTTTTTGATAGCACTTCAGAGTGGCCTCCCTTGGCTGGCTTTATTTTGTTTTGACTTCCGGTCGTATGTTCGAGAAAATCGCCCAATGTTCTGAGAGAATAATGATCGAGCCTAGCTTTGCTAGAATGATCGAGAACTGTGTAAGAGCTATATAAAGGCTGGTTGTTGCGTTGTGCGACGGGACTTTTCACATGACTGGATTTATACACATCTGTCTGCCATCATCAAGTTGTTCAATGTGCTTGCCTATTGCCTGCTGTCGTTGTAAACAACCTTCAATCAGTACTTTGCTCATTGTTTGTTCAATAATATTGAATATATTAGACTTGACTGTGTTCTATTTTGTTGGTTCAAAGGGGACTCTTAAACCTTTTGTCACGACAAATTATCACCCCCACCCCTTTGGATCCGCCTATGACGTTTCTGTTTGGGTCACGTGTTGTAATTATAGAATGGCAGGTATATTTTAGTTGCAGTGGATATAAACATGGCATCTAAGGGTAGCCTAGTGGTTAAACGTACGCTCGTCACGCCGAAGTCCCGGGTTCTATTCCCCACACGGGTACAATGTGTGAAGCCCATCTCTGGTGTGCCCCGCCGTAATACTGCTGAAATATTGCTAAAAGTGACGGAAAACCAAACTCACTCACTGACTCGACTGCTTATGCGGGATTTTAGTACCCCTCTCATTAGGGTGGCAGAAGGTTAATAGTAAAATGATAAAAAGACATTTCCATCTTCTAACGAAATCTCCCCAAAAAAGCATTATGCAATTCCGAAAATACCATAAGAATGTGGTTATGAATTACTATTATATAGTCATGACACCAGGTTCCCGTGATGTTTATTGAGTGAGTGAGTGAGTTTAGTTTTACGCCGCACTTAGCCATATCCCAGTTATATGGCGGCGGTCTGTAAATAATATAGTCTGGACCAGACAATCCAGTGATCAACAGCATGAGCATCGATCTACGCAATTGTGAACCGATGACATGTGTCGACCATGTCAGCGAGTCTGACCAGCCGATCCCGTTAGTTGTTCCTTACAACAAGCATGGTATACTGAAGACCGATTCCAACCCGGATCTTCACGGGTAGATGTTTCTTGAATGTAACGGAAGCAACATATACATTGGGTTATGTCACGGACACCCCAGAACGTTCTGAACCACAAGCGTCAAAATACAAGGTGCATACCTAAGTAATTATATCGGATAAAAATAACGGTCAGTCAAAAATAATTAGCCTGATTGGTCAAGAAGACGATAATAAATATCAGATGTAAAAAACAACTATGTTCAACCTGGTTATGTTGTTCAATTTGTTTTACACTTTTGTTTTTGTCAGCTAAAGTTGATCAGAACAACTGTACCGCAACAGCGTGTGTCAATGGAAGCACCTGCTACGACGACGGTACCGGAGCCAAGTGCTACTGCGACAGCGAACACTACGGCGACATGTGTGAAAAAGATCGATGTAAGCCTGTGATGCTATATATCATACGGTATCTTAACATATTTAATAACAGATTAACAACATGCTATTATATCATACGGTATCTTAACATATTTAATAACAGATTAACAACATGCTATATATCATACGGTATCTTAACATATTTAATAACAGATTAACAACATGCTTTATATCATACGGTATCTTAACATATTTTATAACAGATTAACAACATGCTATATATCATACGGTATCTTAACATATTTAATAACAGATTAACAACATGTTATATATCATACGGTATCTTAACATATTTAATAACATATTTAATAACAGATTAACAACATGCTATATATCATACGGTATCGTAACATATTTAATAACATATTAACATCATGCTGTTATATCATACGGTATCTTAACATATTTAATAACAGATTAACAACATGCTATATATCATACGGTATCTTAACATATTTAATAACAGATTAACAACATGCTATATATCATACGGTATCTTAACATATTTAATAACAGATTAACAACATGCTATATATCATACGGTATCTTAACATATTTAATAACAGATTAACAACATGTTATATATCATACGGTATCGTAACATATTTAATAACATATTTAATAACAGATTAACAACATGCTATATATCATACGGTATCGTAACATATTTAATAACATATTAACAACATGTTGTTATATCATACGGTATCTTAACATATTTAATAACAGATTAACAACATGCTATATATCATACGTTATCTTAGCGTATTCAAAACAGATTAACAACATGCTATATATCATACGGTATCTTAACATATTAAATAACAGATTAACAACATGCTATATATTCTTTGAGCGGCGTATTCACAAGTTGGTGAATCAGATAAGGAAAAGCTTTATAGATGAACAATTGCTTTATTCGGGTAATGCGACCTTTCGATACAGATTCTGATATCGCTGTCAAGGAAGTGATAAAGTTTCTCCTTAACATGATACATACTCCTCAAAAGAAGTTAAGGGTCGCAAGTATTTTGGAATATAAGTATAAGATATGGAAATAAAATTCCTGTCCCCATTTGTCTCAAAATTGCCCATTCTCATTTTGATGTCCACATTTCGTTTGACCCTTAACATCTTTTGAGTAGTATATCATACGTTTTCTTAACATACAATGTATTTACAAAATAAGATTAACAGCATGCTATGTACCATATGTTATCTTAGCATATTTAAAAACAGATAAACAACATGCTATACACGTACGACATCTTAACATATTTCAACACATATGAACAACACATCGTAAATTAATGGCACAAGGGCATCACTTTCTAACACTGATCCACTTCAGTCTCCCTGTCCTGCGTAGCGGACCTGATGATCATAGGGATCAACCCGTACAGTGCTGCTGGCTACGAGGCTTTCGTGGAGGACAAACAGGGCGTGACTGGTTGCAACTCCCAGGCAGTGCCGACTCCGGTAAACACGTCCGACAAGATCCCTGACAGCTGGGAGGGGCATTACATCCAAGTGGAACATGACAGTGCAGAATGCGGCCCCAGTGTACCAGTCATTGTACGTACAACTGACTGACTGACTGAGTTTGGTTTTACGCCGCTTTCAGCAATATTCCAGCAACATCACGGCGGGGGACACCAGAAATAGGCTTCACACATTGTGCCCATGTGGGGATTCGAACCCGGGTCTTCGGCGTGACGAGCCAACGCTTTAACCATTAGGCTACCCCACCGCCCCTTGTACGTACAAACCATACATATATACAAAATGTCTATGGCCAGCAACGATCTCTTTATCAAAGGAGTGGCCCCGTGGTGGTTAAAGCGTCCGCTCGTCACGCCGAAGACACGGGTTCGATTCCCCAGATGGTTACAATGTGCTAAGCCCATTTCTGGTGTCCCCAGCCGTGATATTGCTGGAATATTGCAAAAGCGCCACTCACTCACTTTATAAACGTATCTGAACCCAGTGAGTGAGTGCTTTAGTTTTACGCCGCACTCAGCAATATTCCAGCTGTATGGTGGTATCTGAACCCAACGTCACGACTCTCTTGTGCATATAGCATGTATTCCAAGAGGCATACTTTTATTTACGTGAAATTGATGACATTATCAACAGAAGAGCCCATACTAACTTAAGTAAATCGTCAGTCAACACATACTGCGACACTGAGGATGTAGGTTCATCTTCAATGAAACAGGAACGTTTTCTGATAAGCTTTGTCGTGGTGGGTAATGATATGCGATATGGTATTTGAAACAGAAAGGTCCGCAGATCGATGCTCATGATATTGATCACTGGATTGTCTGGTCCAGACTCGATTATTTACAGACCGCCGCCATATAGCTGGAATACTGCTGAGTTAGTCATAAAACTAGACTCACTCACTCACTCCAACGTTTGTTTAAACTACATCCAAATACGTTCGTACCTTCACAACACCATACAACGGTCTTAGTTACTATAGGTACGATTATAATATCATAAATGGAGATTAAAGTATCTTCTAAGTATATGATAAAATGTTTTAAACAGTGTTCAAGACTATTCAAGAATCCTACCCAATTTCTTTCTTATTATTATTGTGGTGGTGTGTGATTCCTGTGCATAGTGAGTGAGTGAGTTTAGTTTTACGCCACACTCAGCAATATTCCAGCTATATGGCGGCGGTCTGTAAATAATCGAGTCTGGGCCAGACAATAACAGTGATCAACAGCATGAGCATCGTACTGCGCATTTGGGATATCATGACATGTGTCAACCAAGTCAGCGAGTCTGACCACCCGATCCCGTTAGTCGCCTCTTACGACTAGCATAGTCGCCTTTTGTGGCAAGCATGGGTTGCTGAAGACCTATTCTACCCCGCGGGCCTCCTGTGTATAGAGCTCACGTATCAAACAGTTGAAGTTAAGCAGCACTGGGACGGAGAGTCCTAGAATGGGTGACTATGTTTGACAGCTTGACTCCCGAGAGTATCTAGGATTTCATTCAACAAAAACACATGTGATACATGTGGTCTCACATCAGGCAAGTGAATTGTTCAAAACTGTCTCTGTTCACCCAGCAAATAATAGGTGCTCGGAGGGATAAGTCATGTGACTATAGCCTTCTAGCTTGAGCTTGCACAAGAGTGTGGAAACGGGCGCTTTATAAAAGGTCATTAGTATGTTTTACTGATTAAATATAGTATGCAGCAGAGAGGGTTTGGGTGATCCAGGCACAGTAAGTCTGGTATGGTTCATCATCAGCTAAGGGCCCTTGCCCCCTTTACACGCAGCCCAGACAGCGAATGCAACTTCTCCCAGGAACCCACAAAGTGCGCACCCCTGCACTCCCTCTGGATCCGCCTATGCTTATGAGGCAGTATATTGTTATCTTCTTCATACAGACCGGCGGTAAGAAGGAATTTGACCGTGTTGTGGTGGTCAAATACAGCCCGAATCTGCTGACCGACATCGACGACCGCTTCAACGTAAAGTGTATCCTAGAGAAAAATGTAGCCGTGGATAGCAGAGTCGTCATGATCAACGCCACGGGCGTGTAAGTATGTGTAGAACCTACATCATTGATATGTAATTAACATTTGGAACACAATGTCACGGACGTGTAAGTATGTGTAGAACCCTACATCATTGATATGTAACTAACATTTGGAACACAATGTCACGGACGTGTAAGTATGTGTAGAACCCTACATCATTGATATGTAACTAACATTTGGAACACAATGTCACGGACGTGTAAGTATGTGTAGAACCCTACATCATTGATATGTAACTAACATTTGGAACACAATGTCACGGACGTGTAAGTATGTGTAGAACCCTACATCATTGATATGTAACTAACATTTGGAACACAATGTCACGGGCGTGTAAGTATGTGTAGAACCCTACATCATTGATATGTAACTAGCATTTGGAACACAATGTCACGGACGTGTAAGTATGTGTAGAACCCTACATCATTGATATGTAACTAACATTTGGAACACAATGTCACGGACGTGTAAGTATGTGTAGAACCCTACATCATTGATATGTAACTAACATTTGGAACACAATGTCACGGACGTGTAAGCACATATAGAACAACGTCATAAGGATGTTTGTACATTTTGATCACAGCAGCTGAGGGGTCTAAGTAGAGTTCAAAGTCACGGAACGCGTAATTTTGGTAATATAAGGGATTCTATATGTGTTTCGTACACATGTTATTAAAGGAGCATGGTTTCTTATATTTTCTGAGCATGTCAAGTTTCCTAAAGTCAGACGGATATCTCATCAAGATCACCATTCCAACAGGAACGTCTCATTTGATCAAACAGATCGAAAGACATAAACACTACAAGGGCGTCTCATAAAACATTTCGACTTAAAGGACAGTTCAGTAAATAATTGTAAGCATGTGTTTATGAATCACTATCAAACAGTGATTAACGAAAGGGTGGGCATATTGTTACGGTTAATAAATTGCCGTGACAAAGATTTAAGAGTCCCCTTAGAACCAACAAAATAGAGCAGACAAGTCTAAAAAATTCAAGAGTATATTGAACAAACAATGAGCAATCCACAAAGAATGACAATATAGATTTTAGTACAATGCAATTGAGTCACAAATCGAAAATATTGGGTCACAAATATAAAATATTAACTCACCAGAGTCTTGACATTTACAGGGAGAGCAGTTATACTGATTGAAGGTTGTTTACAGTGACAGTAGATGAACAGGCAAGCAAACATGTCCAATGTCCTTCTTGGAACTCTGGATGTTTCTACTTAATCTCATGGAGCGTTGTGCGTACTTTTTCTGCTGCTTTATGGGCATTTCAAACATCGTAGGGTATGTCAGAATAACACGTCACATTTATTCCTGGAACCCCAAAGTCCAGAAACCCTTCACATTGTGGCAATTTTCTGATAAAGTATTTGACACAATTCAACAGGCAGTTGCAAAGAATGAAAAAATGTAAAAGATGTAAAAAATGTAAAAGATTTTGTTCGAAAACTCAAAATGTAAACTGTCCATGGGCGAGAATGTTAGGTTTCGCTCAGAATTCATGTTTTGGGGGTTGTTTATAAAATATCATGACACAAATTAATGAAAGAATGTTTATAAGTATCATGACACAAGATGTAACTAATTGTGACTTAATTCTGTTAATTTAGAGCGATATTAAAATGTCTCGCTCATGGGCGAAAAAATATAGTCGACACATCCTTGCACATTTTACTGGTATTGAGATAAGCTTACAGTTTTCGTTGAAATCAGAGGCGAAATTATATGACCTTTGAACGTAATGAATATGTATGTATACTTGAATCTGTCAGTATTTATCTATCAAACTAAAAACATATATGCTGCTCAGGACTAGCCAACACGTCGTGTCTCGCGAGGATGTGGCCAAGGCGGTGGACTTCTATCTGTTTGTTGGTGGACGCCAATACAACGGGGATCCTATTGATGTCGGAACAGAACTTCAATTCGTGTTTGGCGTGCAAGGAGGTACTGTTTTCATTTTCACTGGGCAATATGTTTTGAAAGTGAATCCTTTTAAATCGTCAAAGCCTTATAGATTTCAAACATATAATCGTACTCCAAAGACCTTCTCCCATGAATCAATGTAGATACTAAAAGTATGGTCTCAAGTGATCGTGAACGCCGTGACCTTGTCTTAGCTTCAAGTCACGAAATAATTTACGACCACTAATATTCTAGTACAAAACATCAGGGAACTAATCACTTGAATGCTATCGTTGAGGTATACATTTATAACAATGCATTGGCTTCCTTTGTCTGTTGATTGTTAGAAGCCATGCTCAGCAATATTCCAACTATATGGCGTCAGTCATATATTTCAGCTGTGTGGTGGAGGTTGGTAAATAATCGAGTCTTGACCAGACAATCCAGTGATCAACAACATGAGCATCGATCTGCGTAATTAGGATACGATGACATGTGTCAACCAAGTCAGCGATCCTAACCACCCGATCCTGTTAGTCGCCTCTTACCACAAGACCAATTCTAAGCCGGATCTACACGGGTCCGTTGCCTGTGCATCGAAACTCATCATCTAATCACAATGAACGTTCACATTGTCCATCAACACTTGACGCAAGTGCACGCACACGCCAAAGTGTGTTGCCACACAGGGACCTCACAAGGCAACCTGACTGAAACCAAGGCATATTGTGAAGGATATTGCCCAAACCGTTTTCTACTGGCCCGGGTGCAGATATTAGGGAGTCAGTGGGTGAGTATGGTTTTACGCCGTTTTTAGCAATATTCCAGCAATATCACGGCGGGGACACCAGAAATGGGCTTCACACATTGTACCCACATGGGGAATCGAACCCGGGTCTTCGGCGTGACGAGCGAACGCTTTAACCACTAGGCTACCCAACCGCCCCGCAGATATTAGGTGGACTAGGCAACAGCAGAGTGTGCTTGTGCGTCAGTGAAAACGACGTTTGTGACGTAGCTGCAACCGGTATGCCAGGGCAAAAATTCTTGACCAAAATCGGAATTCGAGCCGATAGTGTCGTGGTGATGTGGTGAAAGGACTTTTTATGGCCATCTACGTTGCGAAATGTTTAGTCCTGTCATCGTTCCTTTCGCTAGAATTGTCGGCAGAATTTTTAAAATGTAAGATGGCAGTGACAGATCACTCGAGTCCAGTTCGTCGATCATGTCCAACGAGATTCCATACGACTTCATACTGATCCACAATGTCCACGGCCAGGTCCTCGAAAGATCATCTGAGGAATGGTCTCAGGTCAAGAGTGTACGCCTGAAAACAAGCTGCTCTTCCGACGTAAAGGCAATAGGACCAGTAAGTAGGTCAGGGCATTTCGCGAGACCTTAGTACTTCCAGTGCCAAACAACGTTTCGTACCTTATCGAATGTCGTCATGGTTGTCAGCTGATAGTAAGGAACCGATTATCCTTACAGGAATAACAAATTTCCGATCTAACCATCCCCAAATTAGCCAACTATCACGACTGTCAACAGCTGTGACAGACACACATGGTTGTACACTTGGTCCGGTCAAGTCAAGTCATATTTGGCGGTGGCGCAATTTGGAACCAGAACTGGTTCTTGAATATACGCTTGTCACCTTAAATTTGGTACCGGAAGTAAGCTGAGCCCTGTCTCGCATATCGCAAGTTGGCGGGCGTAAAGGGAGCCGGGAACCACCTTAGTACCGGAAGTTGCCCCTCACGAGACAACCATACGAGTGATGTACAGTCTTCATCAGAGTACCATGCGCGTATCGCCCAGTATCCCATTGCTGTATAAACCAAATATTGATCTACAAGCCTCAAATTCAACTTATGGTTGGTTAAAGTCTTTGCATCCTCACTTAATTGTCATCAGTTCCTATACGTTTTGTCAGGAAATATTATTTTGAAGACGATAGCATGTAGTTGTCGTGGTCGCGTCCAGCCTTTTAGTACAAGGATGTTAGTAATGAAGGTCAATGTTTCCCCGACTCGTGAAGTTCCGGGTTAGAATTGATCTTCAGTAACCCATGCTTGTCGTAAGAGGCACTGACTTGGCAGACACGTGTCGTCATATCTCAATTGCGTAGCACAAATCCGGGTTTTCAACAACCCATGCTTGTCGTAAGAGGCGACTAACAAGATCGGGTGGTCAGGCTCGCTGACTTTGTTGACAAATGTCATCGAATCCCAATTACATAGATCGATGTTCATGATGTTGGTCACTGGTCCAGACTCGATTATTTAAAGACCGCCTCCATATAGCTGGAATATTGCTGAGTGCGGCGTAAAACTAAACTCACTCACAGTCACTGAATATTTCCACAGTATACACGTCGTTACGGGTGGAGGAGGGCGAAGCCAACAACACCGTTTCCAACGCCACAAAGACGCTGAAGCTGATAGAAGGAAGGTAAGTAGTGTCTTCTGCCTCAAACTTGGAGAGAGACCAGATGTTGAATATGTAATACTTGAACACATGATAATTTATAAGGATTTTTGGAAAGGTTTTAACCAAGAACTTGTTCACTGGCCAGTTGAAGGTTTTCAATAAAACATATGTGGTGGTCCAAAAATGCATGTTCGGCCCTGTATGAGTTGAAGCCCTTACTTGAGAAGCCATCTGTCGGAAAGACCTCCAGCCTTATACACAGTCACAATATGTCCAGAATTAACGTTTCGTTGCCCCCGACCTTTCCACCCACAGCTACCCGTTAAGATCCGGGTTAGAATAATTTTATTTATCTTCAGTAACCCATACTTGTCGTAAGAGGCGACTAACGGGATCGGGAGGTCAGGCTCGCTGACTTGGTTGACACATGTCATCGGTTCCCACATGCGTAGATCGATTCGCATGATGTTGATCACTGGATTGTCTGGTCCAGACTCTATTATTTACAGACCTTCATCACAAGGTGAAATATTGCTGAGTGCGGCGTAAAACTAAAGTCACTCACTCACTATACGCCGTGATCTTGTGTTCTACATGTACTTACACGCCCGTGACGTGCATTGCCGAGTGCGGCATTAAACAACAAACAAGCTTTCCACCCAGCCCTTTCTGTAATGCAAAAGCTCTAAATGAAGCAAGTCCAGATATTTTACAGGTTCGGGCTATCAAAACCTCCCACATCGTTCAGACATTTCAATTTAAATCGAATTTGGTATTTCGGTGAAAAATATATATTTTCAGAGAGCTTTATTCTAAGAATGGTCTCATCTCGTCCACATGTCTGTTTCAGCTGCATGCACACTGACGGGTACCCTGTAATCGCAGAGGCAGTCACCCCTGACTCTTCTAATAGCAAGGAGTTCAATCTGAGAATACGAGCATTCCACTTCGACGGAAATGACGAACTGATTTTCTCCTTCCGCGTCAGAGTTTGTGTGGCGGCAGACAGCTCAACCTGTGAACCTGTAGGTGGATGTTGGTATTTAACAGCAGTTACACTGAACGGTATAACTACATTCAAGACTCCAAGAAAATTTATAGACGCAATGAGCATTGTGTGGACGTAGGGCAGATCAAACGTATTGATTGTTACTTTGTCTCAAAAATTACCACTAAAAGATCTAATGCCTTGGTTTTGTCCTTGATATTATCTCACCGAATGAAGTCAACGTATTCTTAGGAGGAACAACTTTATATACTCTTAAATAAATGTAGGGGAACCTGAATTTTCAATTTGGATAGGAAGTATAAGCCGTAACAAACTTTTCAAAGACTGACATCTTATGAACGCTTCACCATTTCCCTTTATCACCACCCCTAAACACAACGCATGGTATGCACGTGCACAACGTACTAGTCCCATATACGTGCATGGAGTGTCATTCTTGATTTTGAGGGTTTTCAAGAAGTCACTAAATCACTGTAGGCCATTAATTTTGACAATCACCTTGCATCACTCAGTTGTTAGCGTTTGTTTTTAGCCAGTCGTACACATACAAATTTCACGTCATATACCAATCACCTTTCAAGAGCGATTACTGTAAAAACAACTATGGTCGTGGCAAGTGGTGATGCACTCTCAAAAAGTCATTATTATGATATCAACAATGATTGTCTCAGATATATCTCCCAATTATTTTCAATCGTAAATTGAAAATAAAGTTCCCGAACTTTTTAAATAGTATATAAAGTACATTTCTAACCATCTATGACAGGTTAACTGTACAGCGCCTGGCGGTGGTTATGGCAGAAGGAAGAGAGATGTTGGGAATGAGGTGCAGCTGTACAAGGCAGTGAAGATCCGTAGTGGGGCTGGAAGACGTCATGAAGGTGACGTACATATAACACTCCATACGAGCTATCTCCCTTATTTATTCTGACAATACTTACGAAGAAAAATATCTTGTAAATCTCATCTTTACAAAAGTGTATATGTCTTGTAAATATCTTCTTTACAAAATTGTAAATATAGTGCGCATCTCATCTTTACAAAAGTGTAAATGTCTTGTAAATATCATCTTTACAAAGTGTACATATAGTGCACATCTCAACTTTACAAAATTGTAAATATCTTGTTAATCTCATCTTTTCAAAATTGTCAACATAGTGTACATATGATTTTTACAAAATTGTAAACGTCTTGTAAATCTCATCTTTACAAGACAATTACAAGGTTGTTAATCGAGACGCTTTTGCAGTGCTAGTGATGTTTTTAGTACTACACCGTAGTAATCCATGCGAGTCTAAGACGCCTCTGATGCCAGAGGCAAACCAAGTGGTCTTCTTCAAGTGTACCTGTATCATACTGTTTTCCACTTATTTACTAGTCGTTGTTCCTACTTCAAACTGCTGTACTATGAAAACCTAATGGTTCCATATTATTGTAAATAAAGGGAAAATATTTGAAGTAGTAGAAACTTGAAAGAACGAGCAAATAGATAAACGCCGAGAAAATGCTTGAAATATCGTGTTTTCAAAGAAACAATTTACGAATAAAAGACATAATTTCCACTTTTGAAACAACGAGAAAATAATCAACGAATTAACGATCAAAACGATCGTGTCCTTATAACAAAATGACTTGAAATAACAAAAAAAATAATCAGAGTATAAAAAACCCTTGAAATTACGATAAAAGTATACAAATAATTGAAATAACGAGACATTTCATAAGATATTATTGAATATTTTTGTACTAAAGTGACACGATAAGCTGTTGACTGCATGTAGAATAGCTTTGTCAGTAAACTGTACCGAAAGGAGAAAGGCACTCTGACTTCAGAGTATATTGGCAGCGGCATTAGAGTGGGCTTACCGACAATCAATAACTCTTTCACAGAAGGGGCGGTGGGGTAGCCTAGTGGTTAGAGTGTTCGCTCGTCACGCCGAAGACCCGGGTTCGATTCCTCACATGGGTACAATGCGCGAAGCCCATTTCTGGTGTCCCCTGCCGTGATATTGCTGGAATGTTACTAAAGACGGCGTAAACCTATACTCACTCACTCACCCACTCACTCTTTCACAGAAGACTCCAACCCAAGAACAATCCCTGACATCACAGTGTGCGAGACATCTTGGCAGATGACAGCAACCTTCATCGCCATGGCTGTGGCCATCTTCTTCCTCATCGTCCTGTCTAGCAGCCTCATCGTCATCGCTGTCCTGTCACGCGGCAGAAAGGACTCCAGGACTGATGTCCAAGATGCCGAGAGGAGGCAGTAACTCGTCAATGGAAAACGGAAAGAGACAACCCTTCATTTCTGGAAAACATGAAACATTTACTGAGCAGGTGTTCCCACCAAAACTAATCCTCAAATAGTTCTAATTTTGTTTTTTATTACGACACTTAGTGAACTCAACAACGGCCTTGATAATGGTTTTGGTTCCAACAGAAGAACGTGATATTCCCTAATGTTTTGAATCCCCGTTGTACTGTATTAAAGAATCAATTGGGCCACATCTTTCATCTTACGATAAATATTATTCTCATGGTTGTACATGAAGAGGATATGTTAAAGATGGATTAGCGCAATTTGATACACAGATGTACAGGTGAAAATAAATAAAAGCGACAAACATTTTCCATAATATTGGAACTCCCTACTAAATATCATTGGTCGATCACACACACACACACACACACACACACACACACACAAATACATATAGACGTACACCACTGTAAGAAGCGTTTCCCTTCCTTTAAGAGGGCATCAGTAATAAATCATGTTATTAAGAGACACCTCCGTCTTGTCCAGGATAATAGCACATAAAACTTTCTACATTTTGGTAGTAACCCGTGAAGATCCGGGTTAGAATTGGTCTTCAGTAACCCATGCTTGCCGCAATAAGCGACAAACGGGATCGGATGGTCAGGATCGCTGACTGGGTTGACATATGTCATCGTAGCCCTACTGCCTAGAGCGATGCTCATTGTGCTGATCACTGGATTGTCTGGTCCAGACTCGATTATTTACAGATTGCTGCCATGTAGCTGGAATATTGCTGAGTGGGTCGTAAAACAACAAAAATCCAACCACAACCATCCAACATTTTGATGGAACACAAATATTATATATGCGCCTAATTAAACAGTTTGTAGTATACTTTGTGCATAAATTAATAGTATTTCGCCACTGTACATTTATTGCTTCCCATAAGATTATATTTAATGTGTTATATTTGTGTTGTTTGCTACAACGAAGAAACTTGAAGATTCCACATAGCGAAATTGGAAGTACACTCTCGTATTGTGTGTTAATATCGAATAATTTGCCAAGCTAATAAACGTCTTAGGAAACGGACTTTACTCATAAATAGTATGTAATACTGGTTATTGCGACAGTGTGTTTAGAGGTGGTAAATAGTGTTTGGAATAACTGTTGTTGTTAGAGATTCTTTTCTTCGTGGTTGTGAGCCCAACGAAACCTTTTTACCAAACCTAATATGATTATATGGTAAATGAACTTATTGTTACTTCCTCTTATTGGTATGCGCTTTGTTTGGTATTTTTATTATTTGACACTGAGTGCCCTGATCCACGTGCATATATATGTATCGTTTGTGGGAAAGAATAAATTTTACATAACCGTAAATGTTTCTGTGATTGCCTTTATAATTATACATCAGTAACTGTTTTCACAGTAAAACATCAGTAAATGTTATTACAGTTACACACCAGTAAGTGCATTTACAGTTATACATCAGTAAATATTTTTTTACAGTTACACATCAGTAAATATGTTTAAACACTGGCCCCATGAGTAAAATGCTTTCACAGTTATACATCAGTAAATGTTTTTTACAGTTACACATCAGTAAATGTTTTTACAGTTATACATCAATAAATGTTTTACAGTTACACATCAGTAAATGTTTTACAGTTATACATCAGTAAATGTTTTATAGTTACACATCAGTAAATGTTTTACAGTTATACATAAGTATATGTTTTTACAGTTATACATCAGTAAATGTTTTACAGTTATACATCAGTATATGTTTGTACATATATAAATCAGTAAATGCTTTTACAATTATACGTCAGTAAATGTTGTACAGTTATACGTTAGTAAATGTTTTTGCCATTATACATCATTAGATACTTTCACAACTGTTATTTTCACACGGATCATTAAACGCATAATGCAAATATGAAAACAATTGGTAAACCATGTTCCAAGACCACCAGAGTTTAGTTTGCTGTGTAACGCTTGTACGCCTAGGTCTGGGTCATGGATACATGGTCATCTGTCTGTTAGAATTGGTATCCTACACCCTCATAATATCTAATAGTATCAAACAACTGTTCGAAATGGAAACCATGAGTCACACCTCATTCAATAAACATAACATAGTTTATTACTCTGCGTTCGTCATAGTCCGTGCAATATGTACGGTTGGTGTGACCTACATGGTTTACATGTGTTATAGCTAGGGTCTGTGAAGCCATGGTGTACATGTGTTATAACTACGGTCTGTGAAGACATGGTGTACATGTGTAATAGGGGTGAAGACAGTGATGCCATGTGTATATTTGTTATAACTAAGGGTTGAAGACATAGTGTACATGTGTTATACCTAGGGTCCGTGAAGACATGGTGTACATGTGTTATAACTACGGTCTGTGAAGACATGATGTACATGTGTTATAACCAGGATCCGTGACGACATGGTGTACATGTGTTATAGCTAGGGTCTGTGAAGCCATGGTGTACATGTGTTATAACTAGGGGGTGAAGACATGGTGTATATTTGTTATAACTAAGGGTTGAAGACATAGTGTACATGTGTTATACCTAGGGTCCGTGAAGACATGGTGTACATGTGTTATAACTACGGTCTGTGAAGACATGATGTACATGTGTTATAACCAGGATCCGTGACGACATGGTGTACATGTGTTATAGCTAGGGTCTGTGAAGACATGGTGTACATGTGTTATAACTAGGGGGTGAAGACATGGTGTATATTTGTTATAACTAAGGGTTGAAGACATGGTGTACATGTGTTATAACTAGGGGTGAAGACATGTGTACATGTGTTATAACTAGGGTGAAGACATGGTGTACATGTGTTATAACCAGGTTGAAGACATTGTGAACACGTGTTATAACTAAGGTCGGTAAAAGACATGGTGTACATGTCTTATAACTAGGGGTGAAGACATGGTGTATATTTGTTGTTATAACTAGGGTCGGTGAAGACATGGTATACATGGTGTTATACCTAGGGTCGGTGACGACATGGTGTACATAATGTTATAACTAGGGTCGGTGAAGACATGGTGTACATGTGTTATAACTAGGGTCGGTGAGACATGGTGTACATGTGTTATAACTATGGTGAAGACATGGTGTACATGTGTTATAACTAGGGTCGGTGACGACATGGTATACATGTGTTATAACTAGGGTCGGTGAAGACATGGTATACATGTGTTATAACTAGGGTCGGTGAAGACATGGTGTACATGTGTTATAACTAGGGTCGGTAAAGACATGGTGTACATGTGTTATAACTAGGGTCGGTGACGACATGGTATACATGTGTTATAACTAGGGTCGGTAAAGACATGGTGTACATGTGTTATAACTAGGGTCGGTGAAAACATGGTATATGCGTTATAACTAGGGTCGGTGACGACATGGTATACATAATGTTATAACTAGGGTCGGTGACGACATGGTATACATGTGTTATAACTAGGGTCGGTAAAGACATATTGTACGTACGTGTTATAACTAGGGTCGGTGACGACATGGTGTACATGTGTTATAACTAGGGTCGGTAAAGACATGGTGTACATGTGTTATAACACTCGGTGACGACATGGTGTACATTTGTTATAACTAGGGTCGGTGAAGACATGGTGTACATGTGTTACACCTAGGGTCGGTGACGACATGGTATACATGTGTTATAACTAGGGTCGGTGAAGACATGGTGTACATGTGTGTTATAACTAGGGTCGGTGACGACACATGGTGTACATGTGTTATAACTAGGGTAAAGACATGGTGTACATGGGTTATAACTAGGGTCGGTGACGACATGGTATACATGTGTTATAACTAGGGTCGGTGAAGACATGGTGTACATGTGTTATAACTAGGGTCAGTGAAGACATGGTGTACATGTGTTATAACTAGGGTCGGTGAAGACATGGTGTACATGTGTTATAACTAGGGTCGGTGAAGACATGGTGTACATGTGTTATAACTAGGGTCGGTGAAGACATGGTATACATGTGTTATAACTAGGGTCGGTGAAGACATGGTGTACATGTGTTATAACTAGGGTCGGTGAAGACATGGTATACATGTGTTATAACTAGGGTCGGTGAAGACATGGTGTACATGTGTTATAACTAGGGTCGGTGAAGACATGGTGTACATGTGTTATAACTAGGGTCGGTAAAGACATGGTGTACATGTGTTATAACTAGGGTCGGTGACGACATGGTATACATGTGTTATAACTAGGGTCGGTAAAGACATAGTGTACATGTGTTATAACTAGGGTCGGTGACGACATGGTGTACATGTGTTATAACTAGGATCGGTGACGACATGGTATACATGTGTTATAACTAGGGTCGGTGAAGACATGGTATACATGTGTTATAACTAGGGTCGGTGAAGACATGGTGTACATGTGTTATAACTAGGGTCGGTGAAGACATGGTGTACATGTGTTATAACTAGGGTCGGTGAAGACATGGTGTACATGTGTTATAACTAGGGTCGGTAAAGGCATGGTGTACATGTGTTATAACTAGGGTGGTGAAGATATGGTGTACATGTGTTATACTAAGGTCGGTGAAGACATGGTGTACATGGGTTATACCTAGGGTCGGTGACGACATGGTATACATGGGTTATACCTAGGTCGGTGAAGACATGGTGTACATGTTATACCTAGGGTCATGGTAAAGTGGCATGGTGTACATGTATTATAACTATGGTGAAGATATGGTGAATACATGCGTTATAACTAGGGTCGGTGACGACATGGTATACATGTGTTATACCTAGGGTCGGTGAAGACATGGTGTACATGTGTTATAACTAGGGTCGGTAAAAGACATAGTGTACATGTGTTATAACTAGGGTCGGTGAAGACATGAAAGTGTACATGTGTTATAACTAGGGTCGGTGATAAAGAGGCATGGTGTACATGCGTTATAACTAGGGTCGGTGAAGCATGGTATACATGTGTTA